ATGCTTTCTGGGATTATCCCTGCGCTCTGTTCCGTTCACAGCCCGCCTGTCAGAGGAAAGAGTGACGGTTTTCAGAACGTGCCTGTCACAATTCCGTCTGCACAGGTCTGTCCAGTTCAGACTGTGCCTTCGGTTGCTGGGTCTGATGGCCTCAGCCATCCTCGTGATTCGCCTCGGCCGCCTTCACATGCGGAACTTTCAGCGCTGGGTCGCTTCGCTCCGAATGGACCCCGTGCGTCATGGCGCACGGCGGATAACGGTCACAGCGGACTGTATAACAGCTCTGCGCTGTTGGCGAGCCCCGTCCTTCCTGACCCAAGGGGTGCCTATGGGCACCGTCTCGTCCAGGAAAGTGGTAACCACGGATGCCAGCCTATCAGGCTGGGGCGGCATTCACGAGGGCAGGTCTGTGAGGGGTCGCTGGAGCCAGGCCCTCCAGCGCCTTCACATAAACTTTCTCGAACTTTCGGCGGTGTTTCTTTCTCTGAGACATTTCCTCCCATTCCTCTCAGGTCACCATGTCCTGGTGAGGACAGACAACACGACAACAGTGGCGTATATCAACCGCCAAGGGGGCCTGCGCTCCCGTACGTTGCACGATCTGGCGCGCGACCTGATTCTCTGGAGCAGTGCCCACTTTCTCTCCCTGAGGGCGACGCACATCCCGGGAGACTTAAACACGGGTGCGGACCTGCTGTCCAGAGGCGCACCAGTGTACGGGGAATGGACGCTGCACCCACAGGTCGTGGAGCAGATATGGGCGCGCTACGGGCGCGCTCAGATAGATCTGTTCGCGTCCAGGGAAAACGCTCGATGGGAGCTTTTCTTCTCTCTGAGCACTCTGAATGCCCCTCTGGGCGTAGACGCACTAGCGCACGCTTGGCCGCACAAGCTCCTATACGCGTTTCCACCGCTGGCCCTGATACCCCCCACTCTCGCCAGAGTGAGGGCATTCAATCACAAACTGATCCTGATAGCTCCACACTGACCAGCACAACACTGGCTGGCGGAGATATTCCAGATGCTGTGCGCCCAGCCTTGGGAGCTGCCGCTGCGCAGGGACCTGCTCTCGCAGGGCGCGGGGACAGTGTTCCACCCACACCCGGAGCGACTGCAGCTGTGGGCCTGGCCCGTGAGTGGCTTAATCTAACCACTGCCGGGCTCCCTCAGAGTGTAATTAATACTATCCAAAACGCCAGGGCTCCCTCCACTAGGAACCTATATGGCTCCAAGTGGGGACTGTTTGAGCGGTGGTGTCTTGAACGGGACTACGTTCCTTTTCAGTGTTCTGTACCAGAGATTCTGTCGTTTTTACAGGAACTGATTGATAAAGGAAAA